ACTGCCTGTTCTGCTCTGGCCCACTGTGGAGGGCTGTGCACAATGACTGCCTGTCTCCGCCCCCACCCCCTCCACCCCCTTGAAGCAGAGGCAGGGAACAGTTAGGAGCACCCAGGTGCATCTCAACTGCCACAGCATCGTGCAGCCTTGGAGTCTCTCATGTATGGAGTATGCATTTCCTTTAAAAAAAAATCAGAGAAATATTTTTAAAGCTAACTAGTTTCTTTCCACCTAACCCTGCTCTCTCCTGTTACTGAGGACAGCCTCAGAGAAGACCCTATAGTGGCCAGCCCTGGGCAACAAGGAAATGAGGACATGGTGCTTTCTGATCTTAATTTTCTGTGGACACAGCAGCAGCTACCTTCTGAGAGTCAATTCAGTAGGATTTAAAAAGGTTCTCTGGGCCTAACTCTCCCCCACAACACACACCCCTCCACTGGTTTAAGATGCTGCATTTCCAGACATTCTTGGTAAAACCTGGAGTGCAGGAGAGATGTAGCTATAGACCCAATCAGGTGACACTAGCACCTATTGAGTAGGTCATAGGACAGGAGAGAATGGGGTATAGTACGTAAGAGTTGTGGTGGGGAGCACCTATTGAGTAGGTCATAGGACAGGAGAGAATGGGGTATAGTACGTAAGAGTTGTGGTTGGGCCTAACTCTCCCCCACAACACACACCCCTCCACTGGTTTAAGATGCTGCATTTCCAGACATTCTTGGTAAAACCTGGAGTGCAGGAGAGATGTAGCTATAGACCCAATCAGGTGACACTAGCACCTATTGAGTAGGTCATAGGACAGGAGAGAATGGGGTATAGTACGTAAGAGTTGTGGTAGGGTTATGGGCCTCGCCTTGGTACACAGGATGGGATTTTGGATGGGCAGGGAGGGGGGAAGGGATAGAAGAGAGGTCCCTCCCGTAAGTTGGATGTAATCTCTCAATTCCCACAGCATTGCATCTGTACCCCTATATCTCTTATCCTACCTGTGAGGAGAGGAGCTGGTCTGGCTCATCTTTGCCTTAACAGTGCCTGGTCTGTACCTTGTGCCAAAGCGGTATTCAGTATTAGAGGACTCGAGCTAGGCTGGCTGTATTGGAATTCTGGGTTTTCCATTGACATTTGTATGAGGGCACTTCAAAAAGTTTATGGAAAGAGTCGTATTTTTTAATTCTATTTTTCCACGAACCCCTTTGAAATACCCTTATATTTCACAGACTTCCCCGTTTGAATAGTGAAGAAACTGAGGTAAAGTGACTTATTCAATTATTCATTCATTCAACAAATATTGAGAGCCAAGGCACAGTTGTGCATACTGGGGATAGAGATAAAAATCTCTGCACTCATAAAGCTTGCATTCTAGTGTGAGGAGACAACAGACAAATGAAGGTGTCAAATGCGCAGGACATCAGACTGTAATCAGTGCTATGGAGAAAAGTAAAGCTTGACTTCCTTCTTAACAGGAAGAGTCTGAAAAGGACTCCTGTGCAGGTGATACTTGAGCAGAGGCCTGAAGGAGGTAGGAAGACAGCCTCACAGTATCTGGCAGAGGACCATTCCAGGAAGGGCAAGGCCCTGGCTGCGAGTCTGGTGTGTACAAGGAACAGCAAGGAGGCCATCAACTTCTGATTTATCCAGGTTTAATCAACACAGAGCTTGAGTTCCAGTCTAATGTCAGAATTCTATGCCTAAGTATTTTTTTTTTTTTAATTTCATGGGCATTGTAAATTCTATAACTCTTCAGGTTTTACTTTTTCCTTTTAATTTTTTAAAATTTTGTCAATATACAATGTGGTTGATTATTATGACCCATCACCGAAACCTCCCTCCCTCCTCCCTCTCACCCAAGAATGTCCTTTCCGTTTGCTTGTTGTAAACCATAACTTTCCTTTTACAATAGCCTCCATATGCATATTCAAACTATATATATTTGAATGTATTTATTAAATTTATTGCTAATTTAATAACCTAAAGTACAATTTGAGATGAAAATATTGCCATCGATATCTTCACAAAATTACCGTTTTCCTGAAGGAAACAAATCTAGACATCTGGCCTTTCCTCAAACTGAAAAATATTTACTGATTTCACATCAAGTACCTGACTCGCTGTTTGGCACTAAAAATACATGTGTGAAGCAGATGGATGTAGTCCCTGTACCCATGAAGCACAAACCTCAGTAATGATAATTTCATATAAGGCCAAGCATTCTTTAACAATGTTTTGATGTCCCTTGTCTTTTAATGTTGAATAGTTTAAGGAAACAGAAATTCTTATAAAATGGAAAACTTTAATTGTTTAAAGCAAAGGCACAAGTAAACATTTCAGGTTATCATACAATGTTACAATTAAAAAATTCCAACAGTAAAATGAAATACGTTATAACTTTGCATCTCTGTAGTATATGGAATGTATTATTCTGTCATCTCTTCTCTGGAGTGAAAACAAGGGATAGGTAGATTAATGGATGTGATGTAAAAATTTGAGATTATAAATAGCATCCACTCCACCTTTAACCAGAAATTTAAAATTCAATAGAATTAAAACTAATTGATTTAAAAACTTACTGTTTTGTTAATGATAGAGCAGCAATAACTTTCAAGCTAACTCACTGATTTCATGAAATGTTAGTTGTCAATGTCTGGTATTACACAATAATCAAACTGGTCACAAAACAGCTTTACCAAGACATAACTCATATACTTTAACTCTGAATATTACAGTGCATTATGTAAAAGATAAATGAGAATGAGGAACCAAATGATTTCTTATGGATGTCAGAAATAATATACTTAAAAATGTCTAGTCCTTATTTTCCATCAAAGGCACTATCTGGAGAATAACAAGCTGCATAACTCATATACTTTAACTCTGAATATTACAGTGCATTATGTAAAAGATAAATGAGAATGAGGAACCAAATGATTTCTTATGGATGTCAGAAATAATACACTTAAAAATGTCTAGTCCTTATTTTCCATCAAAGGCACTATCTGGAGAATAACAAGCTGCATCATGTTCAAAACTGAGAAAAAGTTTTTTTCTTCCAAAATAACTGGCCAGTAAGTTGGTATGTGATGTCTGAATTAGTCAGCAAACATTGACTGCCTATTATCTAGGCAAAAAAAAAAAAAAAAGGGAAAAGAAAAAAAATTGTGTATATTTACATCTATGACTTCCTTTTTCAGGAAAAAAAAGTTTATTATTAATTTTTTAAAAGGCTGAAGAATTTTCTTGCTCTAAAAGATCTGTCTGATTACCTCAGAGCAATTTCCACTTTATTCAGATCACCTGTAGTTTATACCCTAAGCATTTCAATCCAGGATAGCAATGGCACCAGGAAGGTAACTATCCCAAGGGAGCTAGTTTTCCTATTGTGAGTCATTTCATTCATACATACTCTTCCCCCCACCCCATCAAATATTCCTCAATTCTAAGTGCTTAACTGAATAACATTTAAATGACACAAAAATATCAGTATTAAATAAAATCTATCAAGAGAACATTGTCCAAGACCTCAAAGTCTTGAACAACATACTTACATTAATTTGAATGAAATGGAATCAAATCAGGGCATAGTTTTCTATTGCATCCTAAAGGCCAGGAAGATTTTTAAACTCTTTGAAAGTGTGTTTGAATCAAAGACCTTGAGTGAGAAGAATGCTATTTCTAGTTTTCCCTTATCCAAATTACAAGCGTTATCAATGGATAACACTTAATTCCTAACCAGAAACATTTCTTAAGAAATTCTCTAAGAATATCTTTCAAAGTTTAGAATTCAAACATGATTCTAGAAAGATGTTCTTATAATTAAGTCAAATTATAACATTTACTCAATGAAGCATACCCTAAAGGTCAATGATGCATGCTAGGATTCTGGAATTCTTTCCTTTCCTTCTCCTCCAAAGGTACACGTATCCTTCCAAATTTTCTATGGAATCAAAAGACTTCATCATATAAATAACTACGACACTTCCCATTTTGAATAGTTCTGAGCATAAGATCCACCAGGAAATTTTACATCTTCTAATCGTTAGCTCAACAGCAAAAGCATATGGTTTCATCTTCTACTGAGCCAAACTGAAGAAGTAAACCTACATTTTAGAACTTCTAGATCAAGGGTTAGCAAACATATTCTGTAAAGGGCCAGACAGTAAATATTTTAGGCTATGTGAGTCATATGGCTTCTATCACAACTACTCAACTCTGCATTATAGCACAAAAGCAGCGACAGACAATATGTAAATGGATAAGCATTGGTATGCTTCAATAAAACTTTATTTAAAGACACTGAACTTTGAATTTCATATAATTTTCCTGTGACACAAAATATTATTCTTTTGAATTTTTCCCCCAACTATTTCAAAAAGTAAAAACCAGGCGGCTGACTAGAACTAACTTGTGGGCTGCAGTTTGCTGACCCCTGGTCTAGATCATTGAGATTTCTTGATGTGGTGCTAAAAGCAATAATGTGGTCATGAATCATCTCACTTCACTTAGGCACTGGAAGCCTTCTGGCTGACAGTACAGAACCCCAAAAGAGAATTCCAAAGCACCATGTGATTCTAAGTGTAGTATCTACACTCATAAACTGTGTAGAGCTTAAGAGTGTTGATCCTCATCCATCTATCTGACTATCTATGTATCTCTCTTTATATATATTCAGGAAACATATTTAAATCAAATTTATTTAAATCACATTGTCAGAAAAGCAGGAAATTGAGAAATTCATTAACTGAATCTTTTCAAAAGCTTTAGTGTCAGAGAGGCCCGGATTAAAATCCTGGCTCTGCTACTTACTAGCTTGTGACCACAAGTAACTTACTTAACCACTAGAACTTAGCCTGGTGCTACAGACACAGGGCATGTTTTCAGTATGATCTCTCAGACAATCAAATAGCTACAATGGTTTTGCGGAAAAAGCCTAGTTCACAGTGTACCATAAGGCTTAACTCCTGGTTTTAGACAGAAAACTATTTTCATTTCTTCTATACCATTCCATCATAATTTTTTCTCTGCATGCAACATACTGTGCAAAATTGTACCTCCATACATACTGAATTCTACTTTCCTCTTACCCTCCAAGGCTATTTTTTTTCATAGGCTGCTAACAAAAATGAGAGTGGAAAGTATCCAGTCAATACATTCCTGTTGTCTTTCCATAGTATAAGTGTAATTTGGGTATTCCCTCCAATGATAGGCATTCGGTTTTCTAGGAAAAAAAATCTAAATGATAAAAAAAAGAGAGAATTGGTAGGAAAGGATTCTTATGGCTTTATCTATAGATTAAAGACTCTGAAGATAATGTTCATAGATTATTTGCAGATATAATTTCTATGTATTTTGGACCTTGGCCCATTGCTTAAATTATATTAAGTAGAATATTAGCACTAAGTAGTATGTGCTAGAACCTCTTTAATCATGAAAAATTTATTAGTTACATACACACAAAGTAAAAGATTTCACCAATAGTGTCTATGAACAGGCATCAGTTATGAATCTCCTAGTGTTGAATGCTAAGCAAAATACTAAAACTATTGAAATATTAGTGTTTGGTTTTACTTTTCAATTTTCCTTTAACCTATTATTTACAGAAGTCCTGTTAGAATGCTGAAAACAGTCATTTTGCAACGTGTACGGTTCCTCATATAAAACGATGTTCAGTGTTGGGTAATGCAGATTTATAAATATGTACAAATAAACACTATACTGGTAGTTAATCTACTACTCTGACCAGTAACCAACAAATGGAAGCATCATATGTACATAAAAATTAGAAATGAAAACAAAACTTAAAACTCTCAAAACAGCCATTAATTTGTGTTTAAAAATTATACAGAAAAAAGGCTTTGTATTTGGGAACTTTCAGTGGCCCACTAATAAAATGGTAATTTTAATTTAAAAAAATCCCCAAAACACAAAAACACAAGGTAATCGATGTACATCTTAGTCAAATAACAGCCACCTTGAAAATAAATTGAAAACATAAATATACAATTTGTTCACTGAGCATAAAATATTGCACAAGAACAGTTTTGTCTGAAGAAAACTCAACTTTCCACAGTTTTCAACTTCAAAATGGTTCTCCCATATTAGATATGGTTGCAGTTTTTAAACAAGAAACATTAATATTCAGTAATACTGTTAGAACCTTATTATACCCATTAACCATATTCCAATCTACTTTATGGCAACAGTTAAGTCAGTGGTGAAGATTTGGCAAAGATAAAAAGGCAGATAGGATTGTAAAATATATATATATATGTACATATGAAACAGATATATTTCAAAAATCCCTAATCATATAACTGATCCCTTAAAGAAATCCACAGCCTAGGTCACAGTGACGGTCAGACAGTGGTTGAGTACGACGCTTTTCTTCTTGGGGGCTGCTCCTTTTGAACTACTCGATCACTCTCTCTGGTCTCCAACACACTGTCTTCTGTTTCACTCTCACTACCATCTGCCACAGTAGGGTCCAAAGACATCGGGACAGATTTTCTGTGCAAAGGAAAACCAACGCCACTTTCCTGTAAGGAATTATCTATAAAATCTTCATCGGAGGAATGGAATGATTCATCATCTCCTATTAAATGGTTGACAATGTGGATTCCATCAAAAGGAGGTTGGCCTGAGAAGCTCCTCTGGCCTTTTAGGCACCTGAGCTGTTAAAACAAAATCCAAGTTAATATTCTCAAATGGGAAAACACAAACACACACATAACAAGAAAACAAATGTTTCATTTTTAAGGAAGAAGATACATTGTTTTTTTTTTCTATTTATATATATAACAACTACCAATTTCCGAGTGCCTTTCATGTGTTATACAATGGACACATAACTTTTTAAAACTGAATCATCACAACAGTCCTATGTGGTAGGTTATTTTTTTTTAAATTTTATTTTGTCAATATACAATGTGGCTGATTATTGTGGCCCATTACCGAAACCTCCCTCCCTCCTCCCACCCAACACTGTCCTTTCTGTTCGCTTGTCATATCAACTTCAAGGAATTGTAATTGTTATGTCTTCTCCCCCCTCCCCGGTTTTTTTTTGTGTGTGTGTGAATTTATTTATTTATTTTTAGCTCCCACCAATAAGTGAGAACATGTGGTATTTCTCTTTCTGTGCCTGACTTGTTTCACTTAATATAATTCTCTCAAGGTCCATCCATGTTGTTGCAAATGGCAGTATTTCATTCGTTTTTATAGCTGAGTAGTATTCCATTGTGTAGATATACCACATTTGCCATATCCACTCATCGTATGATGGTCATTTG